CGCATACGAAATCTATTAATTTTATAAATCTATTTACTATTTTATATCCTAATAAGGATTGTCTTTTTGATTTTATAACATTCTTTGATAAATGGATCTAAATTTCCTAAAATTCATGAATTTAGAAATCTTACAATAGAGATACATTTGTCAAAAGGTCCCCGGTTTTAAAACGATTACACACGCTGTCAGGGTTTCCCTTTTCATCAAGTCACTAAGGCAATGTGTAATGTTACCATGTGACCCTTGACGTTACCTACAATATGTTCACGCTGAATTATTTATGATGTTTGGTTTGTCTGTTGAATAAAAGACGGAAAAGTGAAGGCATACGCTACATTTAATCGGTACGACTTATCTCAATGGCCATTTTCCCAGATGCCTTTAAAATTTTGTTAATATTTTTAGTACGATAAATTCTTGAAATGCGTTTCTGAATAAGTAATTCAATTTTACTACTTTGAAATTTAGTTTAATCTAACACTATCATTAAGTTACGATTAAATAACTGGAAACTTCAGCAACTAAGCAAATGAAAATCTCAAATGAACTTTATTTGGCAGAGAGAACTTTATTTGGGCAGAGATCCCAATAATTCAAAGTAACTTACAGGTGGGTACAAAATATTTGTCTTACCATTTCAAAGATAGTTGAGATTGTGACATTATGAGCAAACTTAAGGAAAACCAAGCTGTTATGAGAAAACAAAACAAAATACAAATGAAACGGTTATTCCAATTTAATTGCAACTTAAATATAAAACACTCATTTATTGAAAATCAATTGAGTTTTATAACTTTCGCTATGAAACTCAATAGTAATAAGATTAATTTGATCAATTTTGGAAAATCAATAATGTGCGAAAATATCAATATTATTCTATTAATAGTTAAATCCTGGATGATATCTAGACCTGGGATATCTAGTCCTGGAATACCCAGTCCCGAAATACTTAGCCCCGGAATCTTCAGATCTAAATCTATCCCTTCTTCGGACTCGACACTTTTAGAGTCCGGCGCAACAGGTTTCTTATTTTTTGTACCATTTAAACTATTAATAAATAATATCAGTGTAATCAGAACGACGAAACAAATCTGAAACAGAAATTGATTTTTGAAAAAACACATTTTTACACAGAGTATAATAAAAATAAAAAGTCCATAAAAACATTGTAATAAATTTCAAAGAAAATAAACTACTTTAAATAGTTTCTAATTCAAACTTTCAAACCTATTTTTTTTATAACAAAAGGTGGCAAACGAGCAAGCGGCAACTAGAATCCGCTAAAATGGCGAAGCGACCGCTGCCCATAGACATCCGCAATTGCAGATGCGTTGCCTACCCTTATACGGAGAAGGAGACGCACATAAAGAGGATATTTCCCTTTCCTATGCATCTCCTCCACCGTCAAATCCACTTCCCCTTCCCAACCTATCCTTATAAGAAAAGGGTGGTAAAGAGAAAGGGACTTAAATTAGGCCTCCAAATTCTTACTTTTAAAGCCATTGCTGTCTTCAATATTTAAGTAACACAGTTTGAAGTCTTCGTAGTTTTGACGCTGACTAAAAATTGAGCTACGCCAATGCCTCGTTCTACACAACTTATTAATTTGGATTAACAGCGGATATTTGATCATATCCGCATATCATTGACAAAGAAATGGTTTTAATTAAATACAACGCATTGGTATATCCGCTTCCTTTATAACCTAAATAAAAATAAATGAATCATAATTGTTACCTTTATGTTTCTTTACTGACTTGCATCTAAATGGGAATCGTCAAATATCAACATTAGTAGGATTCGTCTAAAGACAGTTCAAAAATATGTTTTTGAATCTATTTGTGTTTTCTAAGATGTAATTTGAGGAATTCAAGATTAATTGCAATATGTGATTTGTTTCTTTTATTCTGAGCGTTTTTATTCCGTTAACAGTTAATTGTGAATTATTTAAATATAATTTTATAATGTGGTAATAACGCCATCTTTCTAAAATTATAAAAGCGAAAGTTTAGATGGATGTTAGAGTTTATAGCCTAAACTGCTGAACGGATCTCGATGTAATTTGGCATAGATGTAGAGTATAGTCTGGAAGAACACAGGGCCTATTTACTTTCTTTTTCGGATTGTAAAATGCTTACAAATAATTCTGAAATACATCTTCTTTGGCTCAGTACATTCCTTTATTAGATTGGTTTCTTAATACCTGATAAGATGGGAGAGAAACGTAAAATGAAATCGCATTACGTCAGAATTCTCATTCGTCATACATCGAATGTAATGCGTCACATGTCGCTAATAACCCACCGTCTATTGAATAAGATAGGATTATGTTAAATTATCTGGAAATGCTAATAACAGAGTGAAATCAATTCAAACTACGTAGAGTATACTAATGACATAGGTATATTATATAATAAACTTAATAACGTCTTATAAACCCTTAGAAACGGCAATCGAAAGAGAGGATAGGCGATGTCCTTTAACTGTTTTTCATATTCTCTGGGAAATATAGGCAAATAACTAGAAAGATTTTTTTTAAAAGAACAAAGTCAACTCTATACGTTGATAACTCTATGCTGTCAACAACATTTCTTTTAAAATATCGACTCGAATTCTAACAAAATATTTTCTATACACTTCACCGACCTTAAAGAGAATTCATTTTTTTTATCCGTCAACGTGTCCGTGATTGATGAGATATAAAATGATTCTTTAGCGAAAAGTCTACAAATACAGCTCATTTTACATGTTTCGAGGTTAAAGTAAAATATTGTTTTCTATTTATTTTAAGAAAACACACGTAACATACTTTTTTCTAGTTGACTTATGGCAAGTTATGAGTGATGGCCGGATACAAAAAATGTTCATTCGAAATTCAAAAAAGGTATCGAAATGGTTTTTGAGTTTACATTAATACAGGATGGGATTTAAAATATTACTTTAATTACTAGAAAATACTAGGTAAATTGTTTGATACAAAAAATTGGTAAAAGACGATTGCAAAACCAGTTAGTTAACGAGTGAGAAATAAACTTTATACAAGGTTTAAAATTAAACATAAGCATAAATATATTAAAGGTGATAACAGTGAGTTTTTTTATAATATAAGGTGGCAAACGAGCAAGCGGCCACTTGAATCCACCGAAATGGAAAGCCCATTAACATCCGCAATTGCAGATGCGTTGCCTACCCTTAATTGACGGAGAAGGAGACGCACATAAAGAGGACATTTCCTATGCCGCTCCTCCACCGTTAAATCCACTTTTCCTTCCCATCTTTTCCTCTTTAGAACAGGATGGAAAAGATGGAAAGGGAAAGGGACTAAAATTAGGCCTCACACTTATCAGACGAAACGTGGAATTGCTTCCACTTCACGACTGTTTTCTTACAGCTACATTACAGAACAGCTTATTTTTGATAAACGTATTTAATTCTATCAAAATTTCATATTCAGAATTAATCTTCAAAAAAGAATTATCAAATATAAAAACATTTTCACAACAGTAAGCAGTGGAATGAACATTTCATCCGGTATAAGCTCACTTCACACGATATTCTTTCTGTAAACCCGCAAACTCTATACTTACCTCAAACATATACACAACAAAGAACACTGTAAATTCCTTAATCCTCTGTATATTTTACTGCTCATGTTATATGGAATATTTTAGCACTATGAATACCGATCTTTTTGTAATAAACATCAATGTGCCTTTGTTCTCACTGGTACGTTCTATCAGAGATACCGTGGCTTCACATGTACTAGAAGATGGCTACCGAAGAACCGCTAGAAGATTTAGCTTGTGACAAGAATTCGGCAATTTACAATTTGTAAAGACCAGTTCACACGCTCAGTTTTCTCTGAACAGTCCATCGTTCAGATAAGTCTGACAAAACTGAGGACTGAACACTATTTGAACGATGCGACTGTTCAAATAAACCTGAGCGTGTGTACCGGGCTTAAGGCTACAAAAACATTGAAATAATACCATGTATAAGAGCGAGAAATAATGAATGTCAGTTATATTTGTATGTTTTCTCGACAGGCCTTGCTTTATGATTTATAACCCTCAGAATAATTTATCTAGTTACGGAAGCTAGCTGACGAGGATGTCGTGTCTGCCGCCTGTCGCTGCTGAATTATGTACAACCGACCATCTGTTTTGACTTATTGCTTTTTGTACGTGCATTTATAATGTTAGCTTTTATGGCTTAGCAATTAAGAGTGATAATCCTATATTTTGGTCAAAGTTCGATCCCGAATTGCATCTAAAATACTTACGTTCTTGTGTGTATAGTCAATACTTGTGAAATTAAAAGTGGAAAGTCTGAAGGAAATGCGACAACTATCTTCTCGAAATTACTTTAACCAACTGTCCTTTTTCTAAAGATACTTCTGAAGGAAATCTTTGAAGTTTCTTTCCAAACTAAATAAATAAAACTACAGCTCATTTAAAACTTCCAAATGAGTGATTCCTCTAACGAGGAGTTAGAGCTAAAAGCAATTTACTTAATTTCTCTCAATGTAAGACGCTCGTTTCCTAGACGTAGAAATGAGTAGTTGTAGTTTCTTAACGACTGGTAGTAGATAGTAGTTCTTCGATAGTTAGTCGATATTTACAGTTATGATTTAAAAATAAATTAGTTAAATAAAACTTTGAAGATTACATTAAATTCTATTTAGATTAGATCACAAAAAAGATTTAATAATTTCATAATTAATATAGGTGCCATCTACCTGCTAAAGTAGCATATGATATTTTTGGAGTCGTATTTTATAAGATAGATGGCGTTGCCTTAAAAATTTTAATTCTTTGGGATCACAAAAAACAAAGGTTTTAATTTTTATATTAAAATAAGTGCCATCTACTGGTTGTTGTAAGAAACATTTTTAGAGTCATCATTTTAAGGTATAGATGCCGTTGTTGATAGAAAAAAAGAATGTTTTCAAAAATAAATCACTTGATTTCTTTATGATTAATTTAAATAAAACAAGATTAAATTTAATTTGTGTAATTCGGAAGTTTTACAAATTACATAAAATACAAAACAGTTAACTTAAAACATATTAAACTGATTTAATCTTAGAAATATTTCTCGAGGGGTTCCCCTAATATTTGTTCCAGCTTTCTTATCGCCTCTTTAGTGGATGTTTCTATCTTGGGGTCGCCATCCTCCAGCAATTCTGCTAAGAATGGCACACTCTCCGCGAGCAAGGGCAACCAGCTGCTGCCTAGCTGAGTTGCCATAGCAACGAGGCAGTCTAACGCCGTCAACCTGAAAACAATTATTTTACTAGCATACATTTCAATATTTACCTATACAAGGATATAATGGCATATACATAACATAATAAAAAACTTAGCAAGTAATAATGTATTTTTTACATCTGTGTCAAAATTCATCAAGATTTTTTGAGCCTATCCAAAGTTACCTTGTATCAATCATCCATCCATCCATCGCATATACTTAGTAAGAATTCAATATTTTTCTTACCTGATCTCAGCCTCATTATGTCTTGTTTTCAATAAAACTTGATAGTTCAAGAGCTTCCATAGAGAGTCATCGGCTGTAGCCACCGCAAACTGAGCTATACAAGGTATTATCGACTCTGCTGCCCTCGACTTAAGGTTGTCAATACCTCCGATAGTGTTCTCTAATTGATCTACCACTGGTTGCATTAGAGTCTCAAATCTATCTTTATTCATAAAGTTTTGGCTGTCATAGAGGAACACAACGTGTAGAGTTTTTATAATATAGTTGACAAGACTGGTACATTTGTCTTCGGAATCAAAGAACAATTCTTCATTTTTACTGTTATTGCACGCGTCGAGTAACTCTGCAGCATTTTTAATGAAGTGACCAGCAAATAAAACAAAAAGGCCCTTCAATTTGTCAGCTATAGCGCTGCTGAGTCTGGAATTAAAAAAAGTCAATGTAGACTAGCAACTAGCCAGTAAAGAACCAACGTAAATTAAAAAGTTTCATGTACTAACCTATAAAACGTAATAGTTCTGTCTTTATGACCGTCAATATTAGTCCTTACTGCCCAGTCATATATCTTGAAATAGAATGGTCTGAAGTTGGTCTCGGAAAGTTTGAGGACTAAACTCACTAATGCATTGACGACTTCGTCTTCAGCCTTGTCGATGACGTCATCGTCTGCTTCCTTGTCCACTACGTCACTTCGCAACTGTAACGCCGATAGGAAGAATGACGTCAAATCTTGCTGGAGCGCTGAAAAATCTGCTGCGGTGACATTTCCGAAAGAATCCGCCAAAACTGACATCACAGGAGCAACCGCGTTGTAGTTCTCCTTTTCAACGATAATATTATAAGCCGCGTTTGCGATCGGTATCAAAACCCTAGGCGGTATAGAACTGGCTATCTTCTTCTTGATATTACCAAGTTTAGACACAATGGTTGACACTTTCGTGCATTCCTGATCGCAACCTTCCCACTTTGCATATAGAATCGAGTACTCGTACAAAATCTTCAACAAATACGGGCTTAAGAATAATGGTAGACTTTCCACGATCTTGGAAATCGCAGTCACCGTACTTAGTAGCACCAGTTCTTGGACATCTGATTTTCGCTGCTTCTTCAATACTTTTATAAGTGCCGGCATGAATTTACGAAGGCTTGCTAGAGCGTGCGCTTTAAGGTTTCCACACAATTCAGCCAAACAAAGAACAACTGACGCCATCACGTTGCTACTGATGCTTGGATTGCAAGTGTAATCTGTTACAATTTCCAATACCGGTTTAAATGGCTCAGGATTATCCGCGGCCAGCATCCTAGCGAGCAATTTCAAAGACAGCAACGCCGTCTGTTGGTTTAATTCCAATTCTTGAGCGGCGATTTCGCTCAACGAATCATCTTTCGTGTCAATAGTTTTAACTATATCCAGTAAAGCTGGTAGTAAAGAAAACAACAACTCCTTGTCAACACCAACAAACATTTCTGGACTGAATTGTATCTTCGAATTTAATAATTCCATCGACTTTCTTCGCACTGTCTGCAATGTGTACTTCAGTAGTCCTCGGACAACGGACAAGAACATAGGAGCTGATAGTAGGTTATTGGTATGATCCAACAAATCGTAACTATGATGAAGCATCACGCGCCAATATTTTGCCGCCTTTTCGTCTGTTATTTTAGAAATAGTCTGAATGAATGTCAAAATGTTTATTATGAATGACTTGTATCGCTCTTCCATAACTTTATCATCTGTCGCTTGGCTGTTATGTTGAATGAATCTTGAGGAAGCTAAGCATGTGTTCATGAATGTGATAATTACATACTTGTAATGACGTAACTGTATTGGCGTATGACCGTTCACACTGAATATATCACCAGGATCAACATCAGTTTCCATAGAGTTCTCGTCTTTTTGAACCGGCAAAGATTTGATATAAACCATAAGCTTGATAAAATTCTCCAAACACACTTCAGGAGGAAATTCTAGCAATATACTTTGTCCGAAATCGAGTCTAGTTATTGGAGATTCCTGATCTGCTAAAGTTCTTTGCGACACCTTATCTTTTTTCTTATTCTCGTTGAAATGAGCTATATGTGTCTCTAGTAACAATGCAAGGAACACCCACAAGAATTGACTGGATCCGAGAGTGTCTATTAACTTCTTGTACATGGGTAGTCTCCGGTGTTCAGGGACGTGTAAAACGACATCGGCAAATATACGTAAGACTGGAACGACACGCTTTTGCAATTGCTGTACTTCCTTGTCTGAATAATCATCGATATCTTTATCCAGTTTTACTATAATCGGTATCAAAGTTTCAATGATCTTTGTTATTATTTGGAAACTGTAAGCGTCGTCATGCCTCAATACCGACGATCCCATAAATGTAAATATCTCCATCGTGTGGTGGAGCACTTGTTCTGGCAACATGTACGCCGCATGCGAGAGTAGAATCAAAGCGTGGTGTTGTGTTTGAGGGTTCTGCGTCCCTCTGATGCACTGGACAACCAATTCCACGTCAAATATACTCTTCAGAGAGTTTTGTTGGTCCTTATCCGAATCATTGATAAACTTCTTGCAATAATACCATAGAGAAGATAAAATTAGTTGTTTTGTATATTCGACGTAAGATTGCTCCTCGAAACGCAAACATTTGTGGAGCAATTGGAACAGAATAGCAACGAACGAATTGTCGACGGACATTTTCTTCTTGTTCTGCACGTATTCTAACATCGTAACGCCGAGTCTCCATTCTTCTGTTTCCACCAATTGATAAGACAACATAGGCACTGAAACTTTCTTCTTTTTAGATACACTAGCAGCTGGGTCTACAGCATTTAACATTCTTTCGAAAATTGGCTTGAAATCGGCGAATTCCAGGTGGATTTTTTTCATCAACTTCGATGCAGAGGATGAAATGTTGGGATTCCCACTGAAAGCACCAGCAGACGCCACAAGAAGTATAAAATCTTTAGTTTTTTCTTCAGGGAACTTTTTAAAAACGTTTTCATCGAATTCCTTCATAATCAACATGCATGGACTTGTTAATGCTTGATTTTCATCTAAGATACATTGTCTATATTCTTTTAAACCAATTTCGATAGACTTCCATATTTGTTCCTTTGCAAAAGTACTCACAGTTGCTTCATTAATAAAACTGTAGACTAACCTGAAGAGATTAGATTCATATATATCGAACATCATTTTCTGATCTGTCTGTTTCAAAACTTTCTCTAACGAATTCAATGATGGAATCAAATTTGGGAAACTATTAACATTGTTAACACTGGCTAGTATTTTTACCAAATTACATTTGACATAAGATGGTGTATCGGCGATTAGGATGCTTGTCAGTTTTAATAGACAATTCTTTCTGAACATCTTGTTTCCTGGTGTCTGAAGAGTTAAAATAGTTTTTAACACATGTGGAATTTGCTCAGGATCTAGTAGCAATTCATCCTTATGTTCGAGAAGTTCTTTTATTAATTGCACATATATTAAATTCTTATCAGGATTGTATCTCAGCATTTTATTTAACAAATCAATAACACATTCTCGTATCGCAGTTAGTGGATTGTTTAAATTGAATAGTATTGTCACTATTAGTACATCAGAATCATATATCCATTTAGAATTTCCTTCTATAGTTATGTAGTTAATAAGTAATTTTAGACTTCTCAGTTGAAGTTCAGGATTGATTACGTCTTCTGGATCCGTTGCAAAAAGGATATGACCGCAAGCAATATTGGCTACGAAATGGAATTTATCTTTTGGGTTATCAAACAATTTCCCTAATAACATCTTTAGTAGAAGGACATAATTGTCACCATAAGTTGGTATACCACAACCAGTTATGAATAATTCATAAAGTTTCCTCACGAAAACAGTTTCAGGAGTTTTACAGACGTTGCACCACGGTTTCGAGATAGCCTTGACATTTAACTCTTCAATGAATCTCTTAAAAATATATTCCATAACTTCAAATACAATTTTGTTCTGTTTAGAAATTTTTATAAATTCCGGAATAATTTCTGAAGAGAATTTTGTTCTTTGTGATGTTGGTACTATAATTCTTGTCTCTACAGTTTTTAGTAACATCTTAAGTGTCTTCATTAAATCATCGATTGGTGCAGTTTTAAATGAACAGGATTTTAAAAGCATATATAAATAGACATCAAGAGTATTATCTGGATTTATAAGATTGATATCTAAATAACTATCAAATGATATTGCCTTATCAACAAATAACACTTTGTAAATTAACTGGTTTAAGACTCCAACATTATCGGATATTGAATTATTGGCCCCTTTAATTTTATTAATAAGTCCAAACTTTTTACCCCACGGTGAAGTAAGAATTTTCCATGTAATTTCTGCGGATTTTTCATCATTCTGAAACAAATATGGCATCAAAGCCAGCACTGTCTCTTGATTAACAGGCATTGAATCTAATGCGCAAAATTTCACTATAGCTTTCTCTGTCACATTATTCCACTTTTTACTTTTCTTTGCTATTATATTAACAAATGTATTTGTTAAATCAATATCATTTAATACTTCTCTTAGATATTCATTAGAAATATCTAAAGTAGCCAAAACCACATCAGAATTGTCATCATTTAGTCTATTTACTATCGATTCTTTAACAAAATCAATGTTCTCTACTTTCAAAGCCTGGAATTCTTTTGCGATATAATTGACAGCTTCGGTTCGTAGTTCAGGGTTGACATGGTTTAAGTTTTCAAACAAATACGCTCCACTAATTTTGTGAGCAACCGCAGGTTTGAAGCCTAACAATTTTGATAACTGTGACCGCCTTACAGTTGAAATATCACTGTCAGAGCTCATAATACTTTTGACAACTTTGTCAAAACTCTCCGGATATTTGCGTTCAATATTCTTAAGGAAAACAGAATACCAGTTAAAAATACTTGGATTCATGTCGACATCTTCGTCAATTATTTCAATGTCACTTTCATTGTCAACACTTGGTCGGGTGTTTTGTTGCGGTTTGAAAGCTGTCAATACACATCTGGAAAAAAAATAATTAGTGTAGGTGCGTTTAACTATTTTTTTTCATGTAAACTTTTAATCATATATTAGAAATAGCTATAAAATACTGAATTACATTTTTCTTAAATTCATGTTCCTACCAAAAAGATTTTGTAACTTAACAAATCTTTATAAAAGTGGTAGATTAACAAAGACAACATTTTGAGAGGCTCAAAAACTAATGGGCCAATTTAAAAAAATCTTTTTCCGTTAGAAAGGTAATTTATCTGTAACATAGGCTGTATTTTTTCATTCCTTTATCTTCAAATCTTTAAATGTCACGCGGACGGAGTCAGGGGCAAAAGCTAGTAAGTTAATAAAAAAATTCTTACCTAATAATTGTTTCAGGATCCTCATCTTTTAGGTCCACTTCATCTATTAATATTTCCGGTAGTTCAGAGAATCTCTTAAACTCTTCAATATCTTTTTGAATAGTTGGTAAAACTCGTGAAAGGAATGCCAACACAAATGATTGTATATTACTAACTTTATTTGCCACTATGAATTGTAAATGTTTACATAACTTGCTCATAACATTTCCTGATATATTATTAAGCAGTTCCGCAGACACTTTTGTTAGATGTTTCTGGTATTTAAAAGTCAGTACAATCAATATAACTGATTCATAGCTCAAATCATCATCAGTTGAGAGCAAGGACTCTAAAATTTCATTTAGAGATTTTTTCCTCAATGTCGAGTAAGTACATATGATGCCATATATAGCGTATGCAACGGATCGGAAATCACGTACATTTGATTCTAAACCTTTCATCATAGTTGGTAATAAAGCATTAATGACAGCTTCATTTACAGATTTCATTGCATCAATAACACCAAATGCTGTGATTGCAAAAAATCCAAACACAGTATTCAACTGTGTAGCTCTTTCTCCATAGATTTTTACGTATTTCAAAACCATTTTAGCAATAAACTGCAGAGTACCTGTATTAGAAATACATTGATTGTGCAATGTTTGTTTTGTTAGTGGGACACCTTTCTTTTGAACGGATCTTAACCAGTTCCATTTACTTGATTTTGATTTAATAGCCAACAATTGGAGGAATCTTACAAAAATTTTAGTTTCATGGTATGGTAGTATAAGCATCATGATCGCATCTTGATTATATTCATGGATGTGGTATCGATTGACAAGCCATTCGAGAGCTTTATGCGATGACTGCAGAAGGAAATATGGTGACAGTTGTAATAGAAACTTTTCGATTGTTTGATCTAAATTATGATTCACCTCTTTAGTTTGTACGGCCCTTTCGAAATCCTTTGAAGAAACACTGAATAAAGAATCTTCGTATACACGAAAACCTTCGAATAATGCTGTCAATTCCTTAAGGCCGCTAACACCTATTTCATAGAAAGTTTCCCGGTCTTTAAGGGCGGCTTCTTTCGGGTCAAATAATAACGATGCTTTCTTTTTCTCGTCTTTGTAAATAGAAGATTGTGGTGCTGCAAGTTTTTGCAGTTGTTCTGCTAAAGACGTGGATGCCATGGTTTTCAGTTTACTGTAATTAATATTTTCAAATTAACGTGGTATAAACTATAACATGGTAAAAACATAAAAATAATAAAGTTGATAAAGTTTAAATTTGACAAACCTGTAAGTCGCAGCAGTGTGTTTATTATGTTTTACTCATATCATATTACACCACGTGGAAATGGCAACTTTGCGATGTTTTTAATTATTTGTGAAAACGGTTTAGGGTTATGAATCAGGTTACCAATGCGTTTTTGACTTTGACTTTTTTAATAAGTGAAAAATAACATTGACAGTTCAGTTCAGCCAAAAACATACTTATTATTTTACCTTTGAACTGTTCATTTTTACTGGTTTTACTACGATTTTATACTGATTTAAGTTTGCAGAAAAAAACACTCATTACAATTTACTTTTCATTTCACTTCAAGCGTATATGGTAACATTGAGCTGCCACTGACAACTCAACAAATGGCACAGACTGACATTGACACTTCAATTTCCGTAAACAAAGCAGTTTTTACATGCAGAACGTGATAAAAATACATTAATAATATAATGAACTTATTAATCTGAAAGACTGTGAAAGGACAAACGTAGACCTTCCCCTTTGCCCTCGCCTAAATGATTACAAAATAAGTTTTATCAACTTCTGGTCTCATGGTTAAAGTATACGTCTTATGCTTTATTTGTTTAAGGATACTCAACTGATCGAGCTTTATTGTTTATAACAGCTGTTTTGATAAGGGTAAGTAGAACGTAATTTCATCGTTAATAACATATAGTAATACGTCATTCAAGATTATCATAGACTTATTATTAAAATACAATTACAATTCGCATTAGTATATTGAACCGCTAACACGAGTGATGTTTTCTTTGTTCACAGTGTAACAAAAGAAAGGCGCAATCATGTTTTTGAAAATAACCTCTGCATTTTTATTGTTATTTATCAGTTTAAGTGCAAGTTATAAACCAGTTGTTTTAATTCATGGCATCATGACAGGAAGTGGAAGCATGGAAATTATTAAATTCAGGATACAAGAGGTAATATGTATTTTATTGTATTGATTAAACTTCGTACATAACATAGGAAAATAATGAAAAAGGAAATTTACTTGTAATAATTACAACCATAGGTGTCACCAGAAACTAAAGGGGGGAGCTGTTACCCACCTCCTCCCCTAGAGAATATAAATATATCAAATAGATACAAAAAGTATTTCAAATAGGACTATATCATTAGCACCAAGCCACCTAGCCTTACCTGCCTGTGTTGTAATAATGCATATGTGTACAAATTAACGACAATAAAAAAAGCTTTACCTGCCTCGATCTGGCTATAAGAAAAATGACTCTGTTTAATCATGTATATCTGATTGAGTTGTAAAATTTCAAATGTGTAAAAAAAGGCCCTACTTGGGTAATTTTTTTACAAAGCCTATGACTACAATTTAAATGTTGAAATCTACTAATCTATAATTTCAGAAACACCCCGGTACAGTTGTATATAATGTAAATAGGTTTGAAAGTTGGTCTAGTTTGGAGACAATGTGGCATCAAGTGTTGGAGATAGGTCAGGATGTGGCGAACATTTCATCTCAACATCCAGAGGGTATTAATATTATAGGTATGTTTGATGTAAAAACATAGAAAAATATGACACTTCAAAGCTTTCATTTTTTATAATATTAACACTGTAATGCCTAAATAAATGTGCATTTTCCAAGGAAATTCGAAAAACCATAAGATTATCTGATTAAAACTTTCGTGAGACATTATACTATATTATTTATAACACGTGAGTTTCAGCCGTGTTATAAATAATGTAACATTTAGATTAAGCATTTAACACTTAACTTGAAACATATTTCATAAAATCTTACTAGCGCTACCAATATACTAGCATATACAAATTCTAGCAAATAATTCAAACATTGAGAAGCATCTAAGCATGTCAAATTTGACATTGAGGTTATACTAATATTATAAATGCGAAAGTTAAGATGTATGTTTGTTAGTGTTTGTAGCCTAAACAGCTGAACGGTTTTGATTAAATGGGCTACTCAGTCATGTTTTTTTTTATTCCACGCGGACGGAGTCGCGGGCGAAAGCTAGTATTACCATATAATGAAGTTAAGTTAGTATATATGTATCTTAAATGTCTTTGCAATTTAATTATTTGGTGTATTTTTATAATTTCAGGATATTCCCAAGGAGGTCTGGTCGCAAGAGGTATTATACAAACTTTTCCAAATATAACAGTGGACACTTTTATATCTCTAAGTTCACCACAAGCTGGCCAATATGGAGGTAATTAAATCATATTTATTAATTTTATAGACAGATAAGAAATAATCTATATACATGAAACAATTTTTTAAAATACTTTGTAATTTAGTTTAAAAATGTAGGAATAATCATAATGGGACATTGACAGCCTAACTCCTGCATCATACAGCTGTTAATATTAAAAAAAAACATACTCCATTTGTTTGGCTGTTCAGTTAAAAATATGTGCAGGCAATAAATTAATTTTTCAGTTCAACTGCCAGTTAAAATATTATCTATACATGCATCGTTTTGTCTGAACAGTTCAGTTCAAACTAGATATCTGTATCTTCTAAGGGTTTTAACACCAGAACAAACAACAAATGTTAATCAATTCATATTTTCCTCCAAAATGTATGGATAAATTTAGTCTGATTTCCCTCTTTAATCATGTTAACTTTCAGCCGGTTTTCTCCATGTTGTATTCCCCGGTCTGGTTAAGGAGACGGCATATGAGCTGTTTTATTCCCGCTTGGGTCAGCACACCTCGGTAGGCAATTACTGGAGGGACCCTTATCATCAGAAACTATATGAAACATACAATGTTTACCTGCCATATATTAATAATCATATAAAGTAAGTAATTTTTTTTTATATCTATACTAATATTATAAAAAGGAAATATTTGTGTTTTTTGTATTGAAATAACTCAAAAACTACTGGGCCAATTTCAAAAATTCTTTTCCATTAGAAAGGTAATTTATCTGTAACATAGGCTATGTCGTTTATTATTTTTGAATTTCACGCGGACGAAGTTTTAATAAGAAATTATGCTTAGTGAGTTATATTAATAAATGTTTTTAAGTTTATTGTTTAACAGGAATGCAATTTGAATAGACATTATTGTATGTAATGAAAATAAAAATTTGTACCAATTAAAATAAAGATACATTTAATTATTTTTTACAATTATGTTAGAAAGCATAATGTAGTAATACAAATAATTTATTCATTTTTTGTGAGGGAAAGCTATTGTAGAATAATTTCATTTGTATTGTCAGCTGGTTCCATGGTGTAATGGTTAGCACTCTGGACTCTGAATCCAGCGATCCGAGTTCAAATCTCGGTGGAACCTGACTTTTTGTTTATTTTTTTTTTATTTTATTTATTTATTTAAATTTAAGTTTTGTTTGTAATGACAATAATTTAATAACAATTAAATTTTATTGGTACTGTTGGTTTATGATTCCATATATTTGTTATCCAATGTTATTGAAATAAGATTGTTTGCATATTATTTAGATAACCTTGGTTTATATTTAATTGCGTCATTCGTAGATTTGCTGATCTTTAGTGAGGACATGTAAAACGTCATAGTCAAGATAATGTTTTTCAAACAATTTGATTCAAATTATAATAATAATAAATTCTTCACCTCTCTTATTTATTAAAGGTTATTGCGAATTTGATTTTATAAATAGATTGTGTTCTTAAAGACTGTTATATGTCTATGCCAAATTTTTATTTGTTTTGGATATCCAACACAGTTTGTTATTCAGTACACAGTATATTATTATTCATCCATACAAGAAAAAGTAAACTTTTTTATTGCAAAATACATGTGATTAATTGCATATTCTAAGTGTTAATTTTCATCTTATCTGCGGAATATTTAACAAAATAGCAGTTTTAATACATTTCATTCAATTAAATTACTTATATTTTTTACAGATCGAACAAATCCGAAGATTTCAAGGCGAATTTGTTGAAGGTGAAACGATTGGTCCTCGTTGGAGGTCCTGATGATCAAGTTATAACTCCATGGCAAAGCAGGTATGTATTCAGTTTTAAGCTATTAAAAACCTAATATAACATATTTATATACACAGTAGAACCTCGATAACTCAAACCTCGGTAACATAAAAACCTCTATAATTAAAAAAATAATATGTTCCCTTCCCATTAGAGCCCAAAATCTCTATAACATAGACCCTTGATAACTTAAAACCTCTATAACTTCCCTTGGACTTTAACTTATCGAGGTTCTACTGTATTTTCTAATACTTATCTGTCTATACTTCTATACTATTATAATAAAGCGTAAACACAGACTACCTTGTGGCGTATAATGTCAGCGATCACAGCATATTTTTGAATATTTTTTTTATTACAAAGCCTTACACTTACAGGCTTAAGGCTATATATTTCCACGCTATTAAACTTAAGGGGTAAATAAATCTGAAAACCTTCATGTGTGAAAGGGACCTTAATTATGACAAACTAATTGATATTAGGAGCGTCGGTGGTTCAGTGGTTTGAGCACTTGACTTGTAATCTCCAGGACTTGGGTTCGAATCCCGCTATACCAATGTGGTTTTCGATTTTTCGAATTTTCATATGTACATAATTTACCCGACGTTCTTACGGTGAAGGAAAACATCGTGATGCCTGCACATATCGGCGAAGAAATTTATAGATATGTGTAGTCAACCAACCCACAATGGGCCACCGTGGTTGACTATGACCTAGTCACCCTAACTTAGGGTAGGCTCCGAACCCCTCGGTGGGGATGTATAGTGAGCTGGTGATGATGAATTGACATTTGCAATAGAAAATTACATACAACGACAATAAAATAAAGTTATTACATTATAGTTTTCACGCGAATGAAGGTCGGGAATAGGTCGTAAATAACATATGTATTTGCAGTCAATTTGGGTACTACGATAGTAATGAGACGGTGGTGGAGATGCGGCAGCAGGCGATCTACATGGAGGACCACATCGGGCTGCGCAGCCTGGACCTGGCCGGCCGCCTGCTGCTGCTCACGGTGCCGGGAGTCAACCACTTCGACTGGCACATGAATGTCAGTATTGTGGATGATTTCCTCCTACCCTACTTAGATTAATACCGTTGTAGCCAATATTGCCCTTGCCCCTACGATAAGTGCGGTAAATCCATACATTTTTATCAGCCATCTGAATTCACTCCCTTAAGCATATCTATACTAATATAATAAAGCGTAAACACACACTTCTTTGTTGCCTAAGATGTCAGCAATCACGGCATATTTTTGAATAATTCTTTTTTTAATAAAAAGTCCTACACTTACGTCACGCTTTAGGATACATATATTCACGCCGTTAAACTTAGGGTTATATATTTTGGATACAATCCCTAATGTGGGAAAGAGACCATAAGTTGTTGCCAACATCAAGGAAGGTCGCCATGGTTTGACATCATGTCATTTTGACATTTTCAATTAATAGTTTGACACAGGTAAACAATAACATAAAATTTTCATAATTTCATGCGGATGAAGTCGCATGGGAACAGCTAGTCTTTCATACAATCCATACATACTTTTAATTTTTTATCTTAGCCATATTCAATCTTAACTTCTGATTATGTTCCCATCCTCTCGTCATGTTAATTATTGTATGGGTGAGAATATGAAATTAATGTTAAAATATCGATTTTTTTTTCGAATTTTTGGATTTGTAGTGTTAGCTATCGGAAATCTATGGTTGTCGTGATATTAAAACGGGTTTAAAACGGCGTTTGGATTTTGGTGTTGCCTATTTTTTAATTGTAAAATCAAGTTTTTTTGTCTAAAATGTGACATTGTTAATAACATAGCAACAAAATGAATTTGGTATTTCAAATAATATATTGGTCTTTATTAAAAAAAAAAAAAAAAAACGGCGAAGACGCATTGAATCTCAATAAAATGATCTATGAACAAATCTCTGTATAAAAGCAAGCAAAGTGAGAGTATTTTAAGTTTTTTTTTATAAATAAATAATAAGTAGAACAATTGAATTAATATTTGACGAATTAAATTTCGTTTGGCTCGTATTATAATTTAAATACGTACAAAATAATGTATTTTTTAATATTAGTACAATTACTTATTTTTAGTTGAAATTTTTTTCTAATACAGCGCCATCTATTATCCTAATAATGTATAGATGTGAAAACAATTCTCTTGTGTATTTATAGTTTGTTTTTTTTCATACCAGCTTTTTCAAAACTGTAGAAGTGCCAAATGTTCTTGGCACAAAACTATATTTGAATTCAATGGAAACCATTATATTTTTAACATATATTAAATCGGTAATCTGTTTTTCTACGTATCGCCTACGGTTTGTAGAATTTCATAACAAATATCTCTGTAATCTCGGAATTGATCTGATTTTATTTATTCTTGTTGTCAAAATGAATCCAAAATACAAATTACTTTCGAATTAAATCAAGAAGTAAATCTTGTTTCAGTCGAATTCAATAGAAAAGAAAAATTATAAGAACCTATCTAAACAATTATACCTTTATAAAGCTGTGACCACAGAGTTATTAAAATTAGACAGATTCTTTTTTTTTTAAATCATTTATTCTGTGAACCAGTGACATGGGTATATAAATTCTCCTTTCCATTGAATTCAACCTTACACAGATCTTTTAAAACAGAACTAATAAGCATCCATACATCCATACAAGTGATGTATGGATTCGAAATTTATTTATGTTAAGTAAGATGAAGTCAGATTATGAATAAGATTTTACTCATTTTTATAGCTTAACGTAATTAATAACGCATTACTACGTGTGTAATATTTGTAATCAAAATTAAAATGATTCATAAATTATAACTGTGTTTGTGATTCACGTTTTTCATTCATAATTTCATCCAAATAAATAATACCTTTTCACTAAATTATTTAACTGTAGAAATAAAAGTTTTTTTTTAAAATGTAAATAATTTTACTCTATGACTAATTGAACTCCACTGACGTGATGTTACTTAGTCTTTGACAATTTTTTTTATCGTGTACTTTTATAACGATAGGGTCAAGTCTATTGAGCTATTGGTAACCAACCAGTCCTTAATAAACGCTGGCCTATTTCTGGTTAATTTTATATCTTTGAATTTCATCTCAAATATGCGTTACGATGTTTTTAATATAACTAACTATTGTAGTATATCACTAAGATAATTTTGTAAGTGCCAAAGCATTGTAATTTAGTTGTAATTTCAAATATACGGATTTTTTACATCAATATATCTTTGTTTTATTTAAAACTTCCTTAACATAATCATGTTTAATTGTGTTTATTGCACAAAAACACAGATTTTATGTTATAAAAAAACCAAAACCAAATTTATTTTTAAACATTATATTCTTTAAATTGTTTAAACTATCGTGAGACATTACTTTAAGCGAAAATTAATTAAAAACGGCTCAACTCACGCTTTTCTCTGGCGAGGGGATTTTTATTTGCAAGTAGATGGAGTGGCAATGGGCTCACCGATAGCGCCAGTGGTGGCGAATATATTCATGGAACATTTCGAGAAGGAAGCGTTGAACAGTGCCCCAATCAAACCTAGATACTGGTTAAGATACGTAGACGATGTGTTTGCTATAGTTTCCAGACGGGGCGTAGACCTACTACTGGACCACCTTAACAAAATACATCCTAGGATACAGTTTACGACGGAGGAAGAAAAAGACGGAACCCTTCCTTTCTTAGATGTATTGGTGAAGCGTGAACCAAGTGGTAACCTAGTGCATACGGTATACAGGAAACCGACACATACCGATCGATACCTAAGGGCGGATTCCCACCATCATCCGTCGCACCTATCGTCTGTGCCACGCACCCTTATAAATCGTGCACTTCGCCTATGCGATCCTCAGTTCTTGAAGTCTGAACTGACACATGTAAGGCAAGTGTTACAGTGCAACGGGTATAAATGGAAACCAAGCTTAAGACTAGCAAACACGAGTAGTAAGACACGGCCTCAGTTGGCGGAGCGCGCACCGGCATATCTACCATATATGCGAGGGGTAACGGACAAAATTGGACACTTGTTACGCCGCAAATATGCCATCAAGACAATTTTCCGACCCCTTACGCAAATAAGGAGTATCTTACGTTCGCCGAAAGATCGCACACCCCTAGAGGGCCCGGGCGTCTACGAAATTCCCTGTGACTGCGGCAAGAGTTACATTGGCGAAACGGGGCGTAATATCAACACCAGGCTCTTAGAGCACATCCGTTGCATGCGTAAACTGGATAGTAACACGTCGGCGGTGGCAGAGCACGCCCTTACCTCCAACACATCTCATTATATTAGGTTTGATCGAGTGAGAGTCTTGGCCCGGGACAAAAACTACGTGTCACGGAAGTTACTCGAAGCCATCGAAATCGGACGTCGACCTAACTTTAATAGAGATAAGGGATGGTCTCTTTCTCCGTCTTGGAAACCCGTGTTATCAATACCGGAGCAGAAGAACAACGATGATGAATACATGACTGACATTGTCAGTACATTCTGCGCCCCGTTAAATTTTAATAATAACAATAGCGACACTTCAACATTTTTGAACCCGTCGACATCTCCGTCGCCGAAGCACGAAGCGGCCACAACGCTCTTGGCGCCCCCCGCCCCCTCGAACCGCGCCCTCCGCGCCCTGGCCCGCAGTGCGAGGCGCGACGCGACCGCGAACAAAAGTTAAATAATACTCGCCCTGAAGAAGGATCCCCGAAGGATCCGAAACTAGTCGGTGCCGTCACCGGAAGAAAAAAGCGTGAGTTGAGCCGTTTTTAATTATATTCTTTGAATAATATCTTTACAATAGAGTATATTTAGATTCCAATATCTGTTTTTCTGGAAACCGTAGATAAACTGATATAAAAAATATCTTAAATTTAATCTCTATATCAGTGAGAGCAATAACAAAGATATTTCTAAGAATTAGTCATAACAAGAATACTTCGAAAACGTTATCATAGCTTGATAACATTGAATGTTTTGAATACCTTATATGGTAACGATTCTGAGGGAGCATCTTGGTATACTTTTTAAATATCTTGATGATTCAAGTTCAAATTCCTCGCGTTCCTCAACGAAGTAACGGCTCGCACCGAGGCTTCTGAGGGAGCCCTCTTAGTTACTTATAAACTAGGTTTGGGCAAAGCGCTATCTGCACTCGGCCACCTCAAGTCCGGTGAATCTGTAAATGCAAGAGGCAAACAGTGGCCATTCAGTCACAAAAAATGGCGTTCCTTTATCCGGTACACCATAGAGTTTGTCGTTTCTGTTCAAGTCGAGTGTGGGTTATTCGTGCAATGTTCAGAGCCGTCATAAAATGGCGTATATTATACGAGTACGAAAAACCAGTAAACTGACGAACGTAGGACTAAAAATAAAGATAGACTAGTGCCTCTTTGATTTACTCAATTTTGGTGTGTCTGATATTCTTTTAAACAGACAGCATACTTTGGCAGACATTAAACACTAGTATTTTTTCTTTATATAATACTAGCTTTCGCCCGCGACTTCGTTCGTGTGGAATAAAAAAAAAGGAAAGTGAGTAGCCTTCTTTCGGACTATTTCTTTCATCTACATCAAATTTTATCCAAATCCATTCACGCGTTTAGGCTATATACTAAAAACTATCCATCCATCTAAACTTTTGCATTTATAATATTAGTAAGAATGTATTGTGATCGGAATTAAATATACGTACCAAATACCTATCAAATCAACAAGAAGTGGGTCTAATTTTAATTTCTACATTCGACTTAAACAAGCACACGTTTCATACAAGTCTTTTGTGTTAAACACTTGTCGAACTAAACGTCATACATATTACAACAAATACAAGAGAAGTACTTGTAAAGTCAAGGGTAATTGACCACTAGTAGGAACGGTAAACGCTGTAAAGTCCCTACTAAAGCACTTCAGGCTAATGTCATTGTTTAGTTCCGCTAAAGAGCTCTTTTTAATACCCGATAGATTATAAAAATCCCCTACTGGACACCCTTCACGTTGCATTTGCTATTGCATTCAATATATATACATACCTAGTTCGTGTAGGAAAAGATTGTTAGTTGTCAAGGAATTAAAAATGTTTTAATTAAAACTTGATAAATTATTGTTTTTAATTTATTACTAAGCATAGGTAAAAAATAAAAAGAAAAAGTCATACAAAACACGGTTTCTAAAGCTATATTTAAAAAAAAATTGGACCTGCACCTGCAAGCACTATCTTTCGGATAAAAAAGATTTTTCAAAATCAGTCAAACAGGGCAGATATGCCGTAACACCTTAAAAATATAGAGACAAATTGAGTACCTTTTGGAAAGTGGGTCAAAAATGTATCGCGATGCCGGGTTAAATCACTAGTTTATACTATCGTAATCTGTTTTATAAACAATAAACTTAATAAATTAGCTTTATATGTGTGTAATAAATGTTTATAACTTACATTTAAAGGTCACTTTTACATTTTATGCACTTTATTAGCTTCTTTTAACATTTATTGTTATTTTCATCGTTATTACGAAAACAGGGGAATTTTATTTATTACAGCGTCAGAAAATTTCATACACGTAAAGATAAATGGGTTTATTCCAATAAAGAAATTGAAATCTTTACTCTTCTAGCCTTTGTCCGCATCTTCGTACACTCGTTATTAAAAACAAACTTGATCAGAGTGCATATTGTCTTCCAAGCTGGGTCATACGTATCATATCATCTGTCATCTAACGTTACACTTTTATAATAAGAGTACAATTTCCGATTATATTTAAAAAATAAGGTGCCATTTACGCTTCCAGGAGTTTTATTCATAGGAAGTACAGGAATACACATTCATTGAACCGTGTTAATTCTGTCTCCGCGAAAAAACTCGTTTCTTATAAAAAGATGTCTTCCTTTAAAACAGGGACGTTACTGTCTATTAGCGAACATGAATTTATTTGTAGCATTTCTTCTCAACGAAGGCGACGCGTCCGCGACGCGAGAATTAAACAGGGACGAACTCACAAAATGTTCATTGCGATTTAATTTATTACCGAACGTTCAGTAAATTCATGTAGAAAAGTACTCTAAAATCTACGGTAATCAAAACACTGGTTAAAATATAGGTAATATTCTGTAATAATCAGTCATTGCCATTATTTATGTTATTTAAAATGATTTGAATTGAACATCAATTAAAATAATTAAGAAAAAGCTAAGAACCACTCTGTAAATAATAACGACATAAACATTTGAATATTTTTTGTGTATTTATTGCATTAAATTATTTTCTAAGGTTCCAGTCCGTCCCAGCGTCCCTTCGTGGTCTTGCGCATGAGTCATATAGTTTTTCTTCAGGCTCGGCGCGCCGGCGGCGATCATTGAATTCGCAAGGGCCACAGATTAAAAATAAACAAAACAGACTAGACAGATAACTAGTCATTGTTTGTATTTACACAGATATAGATTCAGTATTAGTCATTCAAACCCTAAACCTTGCTAGTTTTAAGCTTTGAAATAATACGAGCCGTTCGCCTTGTAATACACAATAAAGTATCTTGTATGAACTTTTATACGTCATAGGCGCATATCGTGATATGTATGTAAAGTAAATGAGGTTTTAAAAAGCAATGTTGAAAGATATTATTTTAGTTTCATACAAAAAAAAAAACAAAACAGCATCGTTAACAAGCAGTAATTAGTTTACACATATGTTATTGAACGAAAAAAATGCTAACCACGTAATATTTAAGTACACGTAACCGTGTTAAAAAGTGCTTTCCTGTTTCAAGTCTAAACTTCGATCCAATATTTAAAATAGTCGATCATACAAAATGTATAATTTAACATGACAAATACGATACGTGTTTACAATCAGTTTTCGGTCAGTCGTACGTGACAATTCGTTGATTTTTTATAATCTTTGACCGAGTGCCGACCTGCCTAGTGTGTGGTCATGAGTCATACATTTCTCGAAGCGAATACGATTACATCAATTTGGTAAGAGACTGACAGGTGAGTCAGAGAGTTCCCACTGCAAGAACCTGCAACATATAACTATCTCAAGATTTTCTAGGAGAAAGAACGGGATAACATGTTTTTGTAAGTGTCGGCAATCGAGTGTGAGCTATCATACGATCTTATCAATGCTATGCTGAATTTTTGGGGATTTCGTACAGAATAATTAAGATAAAGGTTTAATAGTTAGTAGTTTTTTCCTTAAAGGGCATTAACAGACGTCCCTAATGTTAGCTAGGTTATAATCATATTTCATACTAATATTATAAATGCGAAAGTTTAGATGGATGGATGGATGTTAGAGTTTGTGGCCTAAACGGATTTCGACGAAACTTGGTATGGATGTCGAGGATAGTCTGGAAGAACACAGGCTACTTACTTTGTTTTTTTTTTTTTAATTCTACGCGGACTGAGTCGCGGGTGAAAGCTAGTTTATAATATAACTGTAATATGCCTAAAATATAAAACCTATATTCTGTGTACTGAGTTATTTTGTGTATTAACATCGTTTCAGGATTTAGTCAAGAAACCATAATTACGAAGTTTACCGACAAACAGAATGTTTGTATGTTTTCGAATTTACAAACTTTAAAAAAAACGAATTACTTCACATCTTTCATATCATAAAACCAATATCTTAGAATTTTTGGATGACTCTAACGTTAATGTTGATAAAGTCTATAAAGTGATAAGACATATTCGTTAAAATATTACAATGCATTTACTAGGAAGTGATAGAATCACAGGAAACAGGAAGGAAGCTGTTATTATTGCTAACTAAATAATAAGGAAAAAGATTCAATAATGAGGCGCGACTTAGGGACTGTTTATGAGTGTAAAAAGAACATTAAATTAAATATAAAATGAAATGAAAGTGATAGCGTTGTTAGTAACTACAATAACAGTAAGCAAGAAGATTTTGTGTATAATTATTATAAAGTAGCTTTCGCTCGCGACTCCGTCCGCATGGAATTAAAAAAAACAAAAGTGAGCAGCCTATGTGTTCTTCCAGATTATCTACATCTGTATTAAATTTCATCGAAATACGTTCAGCCGTTTAGGTTACAATCTCTAACAAACATCCATCCATCTAAACTTTCGTATTTATAATATTAGTATGATAACTGTTTCCTCCTCTACTAACCTTGTTTCACGCGTATTTAGATTCTTACTGATATGGTAATAGTTTCCCAGCTACATTTAACCATTCTTTAGTGTTTTGGATTCGATAAATTCATGAAATGTGTTTCCAAAATACGTAACTTAAGTTTTACTCTATCGAAAGATAGGTCAACCCAATATTAACGATTCGCTAGGTAATGACAAAATAAGTGGAAACTTCAGAAACCCAGCATAAAAAAACTGCTTGCTAAGGTTTAGGTTATCACTGATTATTTTCCCTTTATTTTTTATTTTCCTTCTTCACATTTTTACAACAAACGGGAATGTACAGAACGTTATCAAGTCTGCCTATTCCGTGTAAACGGTTAATAGGTACTTGGTTCGGCTCAGCTATGAATAATCGGTTACCCTGTTTGGAATTTACTGAAATAATTGCCTTTAAAATATACATTCTTAACTAAACAGCCTAGCTTCTTCAAAAACGGAATCTTTTTCTTTTTAAAAATTATCTCCGTTCTTCTAAATGTTTAGGTAAGGTTTTAGGTTGTTTTTGACCGACTTCCCAAAAGAAGAAGGTACTCAATTCGTCTGTATGTCTGTCTAGTGGACCGATTTTTAATAATTCTTTTTTTTAGTATGCAAAATCGGGTAATGTGTTTTTGTCATAAATATATTGTTGTTTAATGGCCAAAAGATTCAAAATATTATTACATTTATGCCAAATCATCATTTAGGTTGTTTACTAATTTATTTATGTCATTTGTAACCTCAATTACCACGGTAATGTCCCAAAGTAATCAATGACAATTAAAATGATAATTTTTGTTGACAATACGCACTGATTGTTTATCTAAGCATGTCGTCAAACGCGTTTGTAAGATATGACGAAAAACTTGATTTGTAACAACAGTTGCTAATTGCTTTATTGATTACAATATGTGTACATTCTGTTCCCAATCACATAAAATTACTAATGTTTTTTTTTTGTAAGAAAAGGTCGCCAACAAGCAGCGAGAACATCAAGATGTTCATCGACGCTCATAGACGTCCATAATACCAGAGGAACTGCAGATGTTGCTGGCCTTTGAGAAGGTGATATACACGCTTCTGAAGGACCCTAAGTCGTAGCGGCTTGGATGTACAGCCGAGGACAGACTATTCCACAGCACTACTTTGTGTGGCAGGAAGCTATACCTGCATAGTTAAGTTGCCAGCCATCGAGATGGTATCCGGCGGTCTGTCGAATCGTATGATGACCGATGACGGAACTAGACGGCAGAATTTGTTGCAAACAATTCTTAAGATCACTTTCCATGGTAGATGCGTGGTATTCAAATGTGCCCGACGGCCAGTAGGGTAATCTTTCGATGTCTTCTCCATAGACTATCCTGTTTTGTGTTTTTAATTGATTTGATGTATACTAATTTTTGGGTTTACTTGAAAGTAACATTTGAAAGGAGATTTTAGATGTATTTTTTTTTAAATAATTTATATGTTTTCGTTTACTATTGATTGTAGAGCTTATTAAATAAAGATTATTGCAAATCTAAAACATATTGCTTTGTTAGCCTAATTATCATTTGTTATAGATCAGAAGATAAAAGTAATCAATTAGGAATTGAAGTAAACGTAATCAATACCGGGGAATAAAAAAAGTCACCTTAAGATAATGTGAATTTTAAAGTTGGAAATCCCAAAAGAAAATTAGAAAGAACGTACAAAAAATAATTCTGTGTATTACAAACATTATGAAAATATCAGCTGAGAGAATTGGTGAGATAGTGAGATGACATATTCATAACACATAAGAAAAAATCATTTTCATAGCTCTTTTGCAACATCTCCTAAAAGTCTTAAATCTTTCATATAGGTAATTTTGTCATGATATAACCTCGTAGAACTTAGTACAAGACCGTATTATTGGAAAGGAAGGATAATAACAAGAAACACTGTTTTCCTATTATTTATATTTTAGGGATAAATTCTGTTTTAATAATTTGGGGAATAACAATTTACTACCGTTTATTTTCGTGCAAACGACCTGAAGAAATCACGGTCAAGATTCTACGGTTTCATCAATGAGTGACGCATCGCGAGGGGGAGATTACCGCGCGGCGCACGCGGCGGCCGCTTTATAAGCAGAGCGCGTTCTTAATTCAAATCATTCACAAGCCAACGCTAGCACAACCTACAAGTCTACAATATCTAAATAATTTTAATCTAAATAAAAATGAAGAAGTACTCAGTTCTCGGCAACAACAAGAAAGTGACGATGGAGACGAATGCTACCCGTCTCAAAGTCGTCGGCAACAACTGCATCGTTCGAGTGACGACAAATCGAGGAGATCTCGAAGTGATCGGCAACGATTGCCGCGTGGAAGTGAACGATAATTACGGTGTTATCAATCTAGTGGGTGGAAACGGAGTTGTAGCGATAAGTAAACGATGGCGAGGCGATAAAGTGCAAGTGGTAGGGCATAACTGCCATACCTTGGTGGACGGAAAGGAAAAACCACAGCAATTCTACGAAGCGCAGCTGTCGCCGTTTAGTAAGGACCTGGATGACGTCATCGATTCGATCTTCACCTTCGTTATGCGATGAAGTTTTACATGAAGTGTTAAAGTGCTTCAAAATGTGTACAGAACCGTTCCTTTGACGGGAACGGCGAACTTTCAGTGCTTGTTGTCGGCCGTGGCGTCCAATGCGACAGAGATCAGCGGCTGTTAACCCTAGCTCAGCGAGTTTTTGTGTGCTTCTAATAAAAGAAATGTAAACAATTTCCTCGTTTAATTTACTTGATATCCTCCCACATTTGATTCGAAATTGACTGCAATTGAGTGATTTTAAACTCTAAACTCATAGTGTTAGAGGTAAAATTGTTTTATACTGTAAAGATCTCACCAACGGGATGATGGTTGTTTTTCTTGCTGTCATTATCAATGCATTACATTAGTATTCAAAGAATGTCTTATAAAATACATTCTTCATGCGTATCACTAAATTTACGTCATCAACTATTTCCTTGTATCAAATGAATTATCAAATTTGAATAGTATTAACTTCTTTTAGCTTCCATTATTAACGCTATTCGGATTGTAATAGAAAGTTATTGAGGACACCATAAAAAACATAAATAAACGATATTTTAACGATCACGATTTGCATACTAGGTCATACTATACAGAATACTCTTTTGATCGACCATTATGATTTTATCAACATGTACTTTTATTACCAAAACAATAGTAAGTTCAATGACCTATATTGTATCAATAAACAGATCGTCAAAGCATTTGCATTGATTTATTGATGACGTCATTATTATATGACGCGAATTGATTGAAGTACGTGATATCTATGAGGAAAGAATGTTGCACGAATTTATTTACGATAAACCGATTTTTCTACAATGCGTTAGTAATAGATTTCTTTACTTTTAGACATCTATATTTTTGCATTTATAATATTAGTATGATTAGCATGACTAGCTGTCTCCCGTGGCTGTTAGCGTGGAATTAATAAAGACCAAAGTAAATAGCCTATGTGTTCTTAGACTATGCTCTACGCCAAATTTCATCAAGATCAGTTCAGCCGTTTAGGCATACTGAAACAGACATTCAGCCGTCTAAACTTTCGCATTTATAGTAAGACTAGCTGTTCCCGTGCGGCTTCGTCCGCATGAAATTATCAAAATTTTATATTATTGTTTACATGTGTCAAATTATCATTAGCAAATGTCAAAATGACATGACAACGACAAACCTTAGCAATCTTGCTTTCTTGATGTTGGCAGCAACTTATGGTGTCTTTCCAACATTAGGGTTTTTATACAAAATATTTACCCCCTAAGTTTAATGGAGTGAAAATATGTAGCCTAAAGCGTGACGTAAGTGTAGGACTTTTCATTAAAAAAAGAATTATTCAAAAACATGCTGTGATTGCTGATATCTTAGGCAACAAAGAAGTGTGTGTTTACGCTTTATTATAATTGTATAGATTTAAAAATTCAAATATTATCACATTCTCTGCTTTGGATCCAGCATCAATATTCTACTAACCATAAGTAGGAAATGTTATTTCTAATCATTGAATTTGTACAATCCAGATAGTATATTTCCTTGCAACCTTCGATATGCCGGAAGATAAACATTGGTACTATTTTATAGAATAAAATGATTTATTAATATAACTAAACAGTACTATTATCACTATTTAACTTACAATGTCCTAAAATTAGCGATTTTTTATTCTTAATGAATATAAACACATGATCAGCGTCCAAAATGGGGGCGTTGAAAGTTCCTATCTATACAGGTATACGTTACCATTAATAGAATTGTTTGAGTCAAGGTGAATTCAATTTTTTTGTTACGTAAGCCACAACCTCTGTAGCGCGCGGACTTCCCCCGCGACCTCTGGTTCAGGATATCCTACGTTAGAATGCCTTTTCATATGTAAACCGGATCTTCTAACCTTTATTAAATCAAGGGTATGCTGTGTATAGCATCGTCACATGTGTACTTAACAATTTGATAGGCTTTAAATATTCGAAATATTCTTTACTCTATGGTTGTCAAAATAACTCAATGATCTATTCTGAAAACTATCCAAAGATTATAACCACAGAGTATTAAACAAAATTGCTATGTCTATCTATAGATCTTAAAAACTATGCTTCAAATTTTGATGCAGTTGTTTTTAATAGATAGAGTGTTTTATTAGAAAGGTGTGAAATATAGAGAAATACTGATAATTTTTAAGGTTTCTAATGTGATGGAAATAAACACATTTTCGATTACCTTGGAGTCGTGCGAAACCGGAGCTCATACTTCCAAGTGTTTTAAACTACTTTTCGCCCGCGACTCCGTCCGCGTGAAATTGAAAAAAACAAAAGTGAGTAGCCTATTTGTTCTTTGAGACTATCCTCTACATCTACGCAAAATTTCATCGAGACCTGGTCAGCCGTTTAGGCTACAATCTCTAACAAACATCCATCCATCTAAACTTTCGCATTTATAATATTAGTAGTTAGTAAGATAAGATTGTTGAGTTACTTTCTAAACGAATGGAATATTGGTTGGTTATTTTACGATATTTAATATAGGCCAATGTTTATATTGTAACTGTAGTATGAGTAATTAGTATGTTATTGTAGGAATGCCTTACAAACTGTGTCGGTCAAATTCCACCTAAACAGTCATTATGCAAACACAAAACTTACCTTAGTCACTTACCTAAGGATACCATAAGAACTTATCATGTACTGACGTATGAAGATAAGATGTGGCGTGATAGTATATTTACTTAATAGGTAGCGTTGCCAAAAAAATAACTTAAAGCAGACACTTATTTAATGTATATTTCACGAACTGAAATGAGTGTTTTTTTTTTGTGAAAATAAAACACAATAATTAATAGGAAAGTAAAAAACATTTCATTCAAAGTATACGCCATTGTTTTCTACACATTTTGACCACCTTTTCACAGACGTCATAGCAAACAAAAAAAAATATGGCCTCGTTCAAAACAAATATACCCTATCGAGACATTTGTATCTGGACGCTCACTTCATACCTACCGGTATACCGGCACCTGGTAAATTTAAGTGCGATCAAAGCTTCTTTCTGTAATAATTAATGTCTTTATGTATAAAATTCGGTTTTAATAATTTTTTTCGTAGAAAATTCCCAAGACTTTATTATATTTGTGGTTTTCCCTTTTTAAATATAGGTAGAGTTTTCTAACTATAGATAATGATTCGATGTTTTTTTGTTAGAAAACGAAACCGATAACATAAGTATTAGATAAGTTTGCGTATTAAAAACCCTCCTTTGAATGCCTCTTTTATCTTCGACTTAACCTTTGAGTAACACAACTAAACTATCGCACAACTTTTGTGCGATAGTGTTTCGCAGCCTATTCAACTGTTTAGTTGCACAACTAAAAAAAGCTCATAAGAATCAAAGCGAGACTAAATTGTGCGATAGTTTAATTTCAGGTGTGCGCATGCTCATAACGTTTTTAATAATTTAACGCTGGCGTCCAGAAATACGCTGTTTATTAATAGTTCCTAAACATAAGTAATAATAAAATATAGCCTATGTTACTCACAGATAAATTACCTTTCTGATGGTGAAAGAATTTTTAAAATCGGCCCACTAGTTTTTGAGTTATTTCAATACATACAAAAATACAAATCTTCCCTCTTTATACTATTAGTATAGGTATAGTTATACATTTAACAGGACTTTGTTAATGAGATAACTTGTAGTGTTAATCATCACAATCCTTTCTGTAAAAGGTTAACATATCAGTGAAATCCGCCGTCGTTACACATGTATCACAATATTGCCGTCCCACTAATTATTATTAAACAAACAGAGACAGCAATACAAAAGTGTAATTACGTACTTGACATTAGTGTGCCTTCCTTTGTTTTGATCGATTTAGTAAAAAGTATTAACGGATGTCTTTACCCTGCCTAATCCTAAATCTGCTTATTGTCTTATCGAGATAAGCATGCACTTTATTGGTACAATTATTGCTACTGTAGCCGTAATAATTTAAATATGATGTGTTAACTATATACAAAATTTGAGTCAACAGTTAATCTTTGACATTGAGTAAAACCATAGGCTAGTGTTACCAGAATGGACACATCGTACCTCCGAAGTTTACACTGCTATCGGTCAGGTAATAATTGTGATGTATAATCAGTATACAATATCTGATCGTTATAATTTATTATGTAAAGAACCTGTTATCTTTGTTGTGTAATATTACGCATAATGACTAAGCAGTTATTGTAGCTCGGCCTTCCCAAATAACACGATTGCGTCCGGATTGATGCAAACAGGATTTGTTTTGATACATGAATTTCGTAAACATTTTAATGTTAAATATTTTTACTATTTATGCTGGGTTGCTGAATTTTCCACTTATTTTATCATTACCTATAGATAGATTAGTGTTAGCTTGAACTAAGTTTCAATAGAATAAAACTCAAGTCGTAGTTCGAAAACGCATTTCATGAAGCTATGGAACCTTAAACACTAACGAGTGGTTAAAGGTAGCTCGGAAATTGGCCATAAGTATTGTAATTATTGGTCAACGCTTTGCTTATATTAGTACAGAAATTACAGACTTTTTTTAAATGATAGGAGGGCAAACTCCGAAGTTCTTAATGAAATTTACAGAGGAACCGCACATAGTTGCTTATTGTAAAGGGTAATTCGATCTTAAATATGACGAAATGTTAAGTCATTAAAACTTTCTTTAGACATTTTACTATATTAATTAGAACACATGACTCATCTCGCGACATGTCTCACGAAGGACTTTCGACGTGTTCGAAACTGGCTGCCATCGAATGTGTAACGTGAAGTAAGTCGTATTTTCGAATTTCGTATTTCGAAGAATATGTCGAAATATCTTTCTCTATAGCACATATGCAACTTATAAAATCAATATTTATATCTTTCCTACAAACACATCTTCTTGAAACATTATGGCGACAAGCCAAATAACAAGAAACGTATATAACATTAGTGTTTTTTTGTTTTCAAATCATTATCACGATTGTATAAAAGCAAAAGGCGGAAGAGATCGTTTACGCCAACACGATCTTTGAGCGTTAGATTATAATCAGCTGACAATCGCCTCGTGGTCGCAATTACGCGGGAATCACCTGCGGGGATTATTTACTTTTTGCCGACATTAAAATAAACATTTTTATTATGTTTTTGTCGTGTTAGCGTTAATTGCAGCAG